AAATGATAATGGTAAATTATGTTTTTAATGACAAATCCCAGCATTCAGAATATTTTAGCTGTAACCACAGACTTCTAATCTAATTCCGTGCTGTAACTAGTATATTAGTTATATATATATATATATATATATATATATATATATATATATATATGTACTGTAGGCGATTGTGTTTTAGTTATGTGTAAATATTTAAATACTTACTTGTTTTATATATAATACAAAGTCAGTATTTCTATGATCATATATTTACATTTCCACTACACATTCCTCTATACGCATTACCAGGAGGAATTACGTTCATAGAGCTATGAACGCAATTCGATCAACATCATTTTTAAGCTTCTACTCTCGTCTTGATTAACATGAGAAAAAATGTTTGAATCAAACATTTTGGTGACGTTAGGCTGTTATAGGAATCTTGTTTGCGATGACGACACAGACACTTCAATATCGAAAATATAAGGGGAAATCTATGCCCTTGGTAAATAATAACCAAGGACTTAGATAGCAGATAATCTAATTCGGTGATAACAACTAAACATTTAGAAAATAAATCAGGATTGAACGGTTATTTTTTCAATGTAAATGCCGGCAATGAATTGGGGAAAAATGACTTATAAACTTAATATTACGTAAATATCAGTGTTGTAATGTGACAGTGACATGTGACACTGAAATAAAATAAATTGAATTGTATTGTTTAACATACATAATGCATATGCAAATAAAGATTGACCTTCATTTTGATGGCGTATACGGTAGTATGAACGCATTTTGCAAAGAACCTTTGGGAATTTGGCATTCCGTACCGGCCTTCCATGGTATAGTCAAGTTAAAGTTGCCCGCCTTTGTACTTCAAGTGTTCAATCCATTTTATCTTTGGGAATCAAATAGATTATATGAATTCAAAATGAGTTCAAACCAATGATGTGGGGAGCTTTATTTTTAATCCAGAAGAGTCGTGGTTCCATTTCTTAAATATGATAATTTAGTATCAACTATTTTTTTACGAAGTTTAATATCCAAAATTCCAAAATAATAATATCTAGTCGAAAAGAGCCTACTTAAAATTCTGGAAATTTCAAACTCAAACACGAGTTTATAGAGCGATTTTGTTTTAAAAAATGGCAAATTAAGCCCTTCTATAAGGGAAGTCCCTATCGGTCGCACTCAGAACACCTATATAGAACATGGCAATATGGATTGAACTGGACTGGGTTGATTGCCAGCGTCCGTCTATAACTAAGATGTCTCAGGTTTTAATCCCGATCTATCCGTATGTTTTTCCTCTCCTGTTACATAAATATGAAACACATCATGGAGGTTCCGCGAAATGCGCTCGGTACCTTAGGTTTATTCTATATTTTTCAACATCTACAGCTGTTTAAGATCATTTCTGGGATTCTTCGCGTCGTTTGACTCAAACAGTGCAGACCATGGGACATTTTTGTATTGAGAAGAAGTCGTTTACATATCTTACTTTAGTAACACATTTGACCCCGTGAACTTGAAAGTGTCACAAGGTCATTCGTTTGAACAAACTAGATAGGACTTATTCCAGCATGGTACTGGCCGGATTAATCACCATGGGACTTTGGGTTATTGAAAATCTTAACCCAAGTTCTGTTGCGTGGCTGTCTATACAATATCATTTATTTAAACGAACTGGGTAGCAATTTATCCCAGCATTCTTCTGGCCAGATATAGTCACTCTGGGCCTTTTGGCTAGATATTTAACCCCTGTGACCTTGAGGAAAAGTCATTCATTTGAACATACTTGGGAGGTTCCTTTATCCCAGAAGGTACTGGTCAAACAGCATCACCCTATGCCGATTGGTTATTGAAAAGAAGCTTCGGCCTGGTGAGCTAAAAGCGATATTACGATTAATGTACTGTGAAAGTTGAAAAGTACGTGGTGTGGAAATGTTCGCGATTTTTCGCGTTGAGTTAATTAGCGCGAAAATGTCCACACGCGAATTTAAATTTAAAAGAGTATACGCGAACATTTCCACACGCTAAATATTCCACTTTTTACAGTCTCTGAGAATATCTATGGTATGAAAAGATTTGTTCTCGTCTATCATGTCAGGTATGTCTTGGAATTCACCTGTACTATAAATATGACAGCAAATATGACGCATATGTGGGGTTAAAAATAAACTATGAAGGTGGCAATGAAGTGTATAGACCGATTCAAGGGAAATTGATTCTTGGTCCTTTTGAAATGATTTGCGAGATAAAAAAAAACAAAAACACCACCTTTTTCCAATTCAAGATATTATCAATTATTTCTCTTAAATGTATATCATTCCTGCTTCTGATTTTTAAAAACTGTTTCACACAGATCATGACGCGTAATATGCACGAAAACAATTTCCAGTATTCCTTCCTATGTGCACATTGTAGTGGATTTTGGGGAGAGTTATCTCCCTTAGACTGCTAACCGCACCGACAACATCGATGAGACATTGTCTTGTCGTAATTGCGAAAGGGTGGAGCCTCCTTAACATCCGGATTTCGACCTGATAACACGTGATTGTTTTTCATTCACCTTCAACCCGATAATATTGGGACCTGAGAGTAGTTTTCTACTACATGTAGTGTGTGTTATCCACACCAAACTTACTACAACGTTTCAACGACTGACGTTAGTGCAGGCAAATTCGTCACATTAGTGAGGGTTTCGATTAATTATTCGTCCAAAAACGCATGTATCAAAATGCAGACGAGCACCAGTACAGAAGAAGATTTGAATGAAATGTCTATAAATAAACATTGTTGTAAATACGCCTTAATGACGTCACGCATCAACATTTGTGACGTCATCAGGCCTTCCGTGGTTTTGCTCAAAGGTGCAGGCAGTTTCGACGCCTTCAAACATTTAACTCATTTACAAGTAATATAACTGTTGAAATGTAAACTTTTGTATGTTTATGTTATACAAGTCGTACTAATACGAACAGCTCCAAATGTGTGTGTGTAACCACGGAAGATTAACATTGAAATACACGGCTTTTCTTAGTTGTGATAGTTAGTTTTCGGTAACTCAGTTGAAGAAACTGATAAATGTTGTTTGAGAAAGATGGCTGGTATCGGCTGAGATGATGTCAATTTACATGATACGCAATAAAGGCTCAGTCCTTAACAAATATAAAAGTCCAAATCGCTGTCCAATATTATATTTTTCATCGGGTCCGGATGAGAGGGTCCAGGGCTTTCAACGACCCAAACAATACTTTTAAAAAGATACAGGTTGATTGTATTTTAAATACACATTGCATCAGTGAAAATGGAAACTGACGAATTATCAAATCGCGGAGCTTTCCGATCATCATTTCCATAAACACGCATTGGATCGTCAGTACATTGTACATGTACCAAAGTACAATTGTAGAAAAACAATTTACTTGCATTAACTGCAATTTGCGTAAAGATATGGGTATTTTCATGTGTAATTATTTATTAATATTTACATTCTGTATGCTTAGACCCATTGACAAAAATTACATTCATAAATGCATAACACAGGTGTTCATAGAATCTCAGCACGTGGGAACTGATAGTAACATGATCACACTGCGTAGTAATACACTCCAAAAACTACTCACTCGGAACGACAGACCTAGATGCTTAATTCTTTCATCTAAAAATATTATTGAACTGTGCTTTGTGAAATATCCACGTATTCACATGCCCTGTGCTACAAATAAACATTGAATATGGAACTACATTTTGTTGTGTTATTATTGTTGACGGTTGCTAAGATCTCTCACGATAGTGTCACATTTCCCCGCGAAAAACACTGTTCTCGCCACTGCGTTGCACCCGTGTATATGCAGGAACAAACCCTGTTTGTTTGTTTTATTCGTTGTTATATTGATCCACTGAAAGGATTCGTCAATGTAAATATAAGGAATGATATTTATTTTTTCAACATTTATGACCTCATAAATGTTGAAAAAATAAAAATCATTCCTTAATTATTGTAATAAATTTACAATAAATAACAACCAACTGGCCTCAGATAAATGAGTTTAGTTGACGAGATGTCCGTCGCACAGACCATTTTTTTAAGATTCGTTGTGTTACAAGATATTTCATAACTGTTTTGATTAAAAGTATAACTTTTCCTTTCTTATACCTCTTCTTGTCTAAATATTTGAAGGCTTTTTAAAACTGTGTTAAAGACTATGGTGACGTGTATTATGACGTCATATGGCATTTTCGTCACAGGGTGGCGAATTTGGGTGCATGGCGAATTTGCCTGTACTAACGTTACGTAACGCACCGTAGCTCCATTTGTCCGGTTTATTTATTATATTGCCACAGTATTTGGTTGAATTCTTAAATATTATTTACTTTGAACATTTTGTATCATCCGTGAACAAATATGACTCCGAATCATACATACCATGATTTCTTAGTTTGCCGGTGAGCATGTGGCATGAATCTTTTGTGCAGCATCAATTTTGGTATAGACAAGGATGTGTACACATCCCTGATATAGATTTTTATATATACTTTGCTCTGTTGTTTTTGATTACTGCATGCTGTGATTTAATTTTTTCTTGTCTGTGTGTATAAACATGCCTGTTGTTTTCTGCATGTTGTCTTATATATCCTGTTTTTATACCTTTGTTTGTCGTAATAATAGCTCCACAGCGTTAATGTTTCCATTACAACATATACGACTATAAATAAAAATTCTTGTATCTTGTAAGAAATTCTCAGGTCCCTGTGGTCCAATCGTATCAACCACGCAAATGGAAGCCGGTCTGCAGATTGGATTCGCTTTAATGTTGCTGTTGTTTAAGAAACAGTATGCTGTGTAATCGTTTCGGTTTAATGACCACGTCGCCCTCGTTTATGAAAGTATCAGAAGGAGGCATTAAGCCTGCTGTACTTCTACAAATAAAGAATAAATAATTAAATGGTATTTTTTTTACAAGAGTTATCCTTCTTGTCCTACACCGGAAATGCAGTCAGGTGCTGCCATCACATGAAAATATGATAATGGTTGACAGAACACCGGGGAAGTGACAGTTCTTCGTAAACAAAAAAGGGGTGGCCATAACTACAATTTGAGATATCCAGGCGTTTGGACTAAAGTGGTGTATTTTTAGAAGCAAAATGCCTCCTCCTGATATTACCATAAACGAGGGCGACGTGGTCAAACTAGTTGCCGAATTTTTAGAAAATCGCGAGCTAAACATTGCCATGCTTTCGCTTGAGAGAGAGACAGGTCTTATCAATGGCATGTATTCTGACGATCTTCTGTTTCTACGACAACTTATTCTCGATGGTCAGTGGGATGACGTAATTGACTTTGTCCAGCCGCTTAATTCCGCTGATGGGTTCAATGGTAAACAATTTCATTACTACATAATGAAGCACAAATACTTGGAACTATTGTGCATAAAATCTGACCCAACAGCCATGCAGAATTATGAATTTACAGTTGAAGAGGTTGTGAAATGTTTAAATTCTCTTGAAAAACTATGTCCAACCAAAGAGGAATACAACAATATGTGTATGCTATTGACATTACCAAAATTATCGGATCACATTGATTACCAAAATTGGAATCCAAGCAATGCACGAGTCACTTGTTTTAAAGACACCCTGCCTCTTGTGCATAAATTCCTTCCATTTGAAAGGAAAGAGGATAAGAAGTCATGTGTCGCAGAAAATGACCGCCTTCTACAGCTTGTTTTGAAAGGCCTGCTGTACGAATCATGTGTGGAGTACTGCCAACAGCGAGCAACAAGTAATGGTGATAACAGCTATTTAGATATGGCATATTCCACTGTCTTACAGAACACAGGGTTTAATGATGCAGATTTGAGTTTACTCTCATGGCTACAACACATCCCTGATGGTACATTTTCTTGTCCATTTGAGCAGAAGAACCTGAATTTTGATGTACGTCCTCTTGTTAAACCTTCACTGGAAGCATCATGGTCTGAGCAAATTCTAGTCACACCGATCAAGCCTAAAATGTTTCCCCACTCAGCGGTGCCAAACAGCAGACCCCGTTCAGCTGATCATATGACAAGGTCTCTTAATCCCCAGTTTGATGGGCTGTCGAGTGGATTGGCTCAAGTGAGAGGTGGATTGATGACCCAATCAATGGACCTGAGCAAACATCCCTTGTCTCAGTCAGTGGCACCTGGACCAAGGCTAGACATGTCCATGAAAAATCCAATGCAGGTTTCTATAGACAAACTGTTTTCGCAAGGAGAGTGTGTACAAACTCATAGTTCTATTGTTGAGGACACGAGAAAGTCACCCGGTGGACCAATGCTGCACAGATCACCTCCTGTTTCTCAGACAACGATAAAGCCAGGACCCCTTCCTCAGCACACACAGACAAAATCTCCACTCAGAAGTGCCACACCCCCTCAGCGTCGGACAAGCTTGACAGGTGAAACTGCCCAAAGGGTCGTTTCGCCAGCACAATCCCAGACTGATCCCAATGAGAGACGTGACTCTCCAGAGCCAGGAAGTGTGAGAGACTCGAGCTCAGAACTGTTTAAAGAATATCAGAGACAGAAGAGCAGGTTACAGGACCAGCTTGCATTGCAGGAGAGACAACGAGAAATGTACCAAATGGAGTTGAAAGAGATTGAACAAAAACAGCAGATTATGTCACAGGTTGAAGGAACCGAGGAAAAACAAGGTATACAATTTATGTGTTTATATATATTGCACTCTTTGTTGTAATGTAATGTGTTTTATATTGTTTTTATAAATTCATTGATAATGATTCAGTATGTGAAACTATTTACGTAAGCAAGTCGGTAAAATCTTTAATACAAAAATTATATTCCAAAGAGTGTGTATTGGTCTTTGAGTGTGTGTTCTGCTGCTAGATTAAGAGAAAGTAACTGATTTAAAGAAACTAAAATCAAGAGGCTCGATAGTCTAGTGGTAGGCAGCCAGGCTTCTGACCTAAGGGTTGCGGGTTCGAGTCGCATCACGTCACTGTGCTGTATCTTTGAACAAGATACTTAACTCCACTTGTTCCAGTCTACTCAGCTGTAAATGAGTACCTAGTTGGCAGTGCTAGAACTGTTGAATGCTAGCTGTAATCGTCGAAATGGCAGCACCGGTTGTATGCTCCCAAGGGAATTGAGAAAGATATTGGCAGGTTGCAAAGGCCCTATAACCATGGATAATAATTTGTGAACTGCTTTGAGATGACCTACAAACTAGGTTGTGATAAAGCGGTATATAAGAACCTCAAATCATTATAAAATGTAAATGCCCTCGAGGTCACGATAATGCACATAAATTCCTAGTACAATTATTGGCATGTAATATATACAATATATAGGTATTGGTGTCTTGGTGGGAAAAAAAATGAAACATTAAAATATATATATATCAGGACAGGTACTCAAGATTTGTTTATGCATACAAATTCTTTGGTTCTGCTCTCTCCATGTATACAGTTTTTATATATTAAGATTTTAGTGCATATCCAAATTATATTTTTTTGTGATTCAAGTCATTCAAAACTAAAAAAAGGTTTGTTTTCTCGTAATATACTAATTACTTTTTAGAGAATTTAATATTCCCCATTTTCATCATGACCTCGTGATCAGGTGGCTTATGCAATATATGTATATATACCAAAGGGTAATATTTCTATTAACAAAGTGAAAATATCAATATATAAAGGTATGTATTTTGGTAATAGGTTGCTTTTCATATGCAAATGTCAAAGGTCAAAGGTCATTGTAATTTGAAGTACATATTTGGATCCCACACAGTAACCTGAGGTTACCTGAGCCAGTCAAACTGACTTCCTATACTGCATGCATTCTTATGGAAAGTTCTTACTTTGGATTACTTTTCAGGTCAAAGGTTAAATAAGGTCGCTGGTACATGTACTGTAAAGAGCATATATTAGTATCTGAGTAACAGATATCCATCCAGTTCTGTGTCGGTGTATAACACTCAATCTTCATACACTTTATCCTCAGTGAAAGTGCTTGCTTAGGATTGCTTTTCAGATCTGAATGTCGGAGATTGACAGTGTTATAGTTACAGTAAATTAAATAGATAATTGGTTTTATGCACTCCATACTGAGCCCCGTGATCCTTGCACATAGAGTATCACTAAAACTCCACACACTGTTGCCAAAATTCTTGCTTCATATGTTCCTTTTCATGTCCCAATAAAGTCACAGTTATATTTGAATAGAAAATTGGTTTCAACAGAATACTTCAAGTAGGCCATTAATACTCAAATTTAAAATTCATACTTGTGTAACATGGTTCCTTACTGAAAGCACTTGCTTGGGATTGCTTTTCATTCCCAAAGGACAATGTTATTGTTAATTATTATAGAAAATTTGTTTCCGCACAACTCAAGTGTTCTGATAAAACTCAAACTGCATATATACACACCTTCCATATGCTTGCTAGGGATTGTATTTCAGGTTTGAAGGTCAAAGGTTAAGGTCATTATTATATAAATGAAACATTACATTCTGCATAGCACACAAGTACCAGCCTCATTATCAAAAGTGAAAGCTTGTCCTCCTTTAACTTCACCACTGATGGTTGGAGTGTAATTTTGTGTCAGTATTATATAGACACATTGTACTGGTACTTGTTGTGTCACTATTGTTATATCAATGTTGTAAAATGTTGACTGTTGTCTGCATTGAATTTCCTGGTAATGTATGTATTGTATTCTGAGGTCATTCTTTTCCCCTGCCTTGTTAAGGATTATCTCCCTTGCTCTTTTCCTTCTGTCAGTCACTGGTATCCTGCAGATCTAGAGTGGTCATGATCATCAGTTACAAGTTCTGTGTTCTGTTAATGTGACACAATTACTTCAGGTTTTTTTTGCCAGCTTGTAAGGTAGCTATATATATGTAACTCTTACATAGACTGATTCTCACAAAACCAATGACATAGAGAGTCCCTCCACTTTTATACTGTACTATACAGGCCCTGAACACTTATTTTCCCAGTAAAACTCATGTTATTTCTAATAATACAAAACCACTTCAACATGTTGCAGGCCATTTTAGGGTGTTTACTGGTTTAGACTTTTTTAAGTTAACAGTATTCTAATAAATTAATGTTGTAGAAAAAACGTTAGCATCTTGACCCGTAAATCAGCTGACAAGTTTTCTGATTTATAATCACGAGGCCTGGGGTTTGAATTCCCGTGGCCATACTAATATATTGAAAAAAAAAGCATACATGAATAGATACATTTCTTGAGTGTGCAATATATAAGTAAAAAGAAAAGCTGAACAAATTGGAACTCTTCATTAGAGATATATACATCATTGAGAGCGCTGGTACTCTCTCCTTTAATTTTCCTTCTACAAAAATATCTGAACGTTTATGAACATATAATAAGTGATCATTGCTTATATTTCAAAATCTAGTTATTTAAAATTAAAGTTCAGGGTTAAATGTGTAATAAACAATATGTGACCAGGATGTGTTTGTATCTTGTGACCCTTTGCTGTTTTAACATTACATATTGTGACTTCTCTATATATATACTGTATACAAGGAATTTTTCGCCAAGTCAAACTTTCGTCTTCGCTGGTTAAATCCATATTCGCCGTGTTTTCATTTCACCCTTCTCTTTGGATTACTATGTTTGTTATGCTGTTTACTTATATTCGTTGTAATGATAAATTCGCCCTGAAAGGCAGAAATTAAACGGCAGCGAAAGTTGTCCGGTATACAGTTATTTTTTTTATTATATATATATGCACTACTTCATCTCTTCATGCTTCAGTTTCCTTATTTTTACCACTATTTTTGTTGTTTTGTTGATTTCATTAATTTCATTGATTTCCAGATTATGCGGATAGCAAATTTCCGTCATCTTCCTCATGTAGCACGCCCTTGTTAGACAATGTTGAGGGCAGTGATCATAGCATACATACACCAAAGTTTACACCCATAGCAAACAATGAACATGTCACTAGAAAGGATGCCGACAGTCCTATGAATAACCCATATACAGATACACCTGACTTCACACCTTTTCAAAACAATGAGAAGTCCATGATTCCCATTGATCAATTGCCTATGACTACACCTGAACTAGAGATGTTGAGTAGATTTGGTAAAGAAAAGAAAGGAAATGAACGTGATGAAGTGCCCATCCTTGCCATGAATGCTATTCATATGAATGATCCGGAGATTGGACTGGAACCCATGGACGAAGACCCCAGCCAAAATACAAAGTCTAGCTCCACAGCATCAGTTCCCCAACAGCATAACAGCAGGTTGAACGGGAATAACCGACCAGTGGGTCCAGTTCAGTCAAACGAGTGGCCTGACTTGCAAACCATTAAAGATGGATCCTATGTGTCAAGAGGGGAAGTCTCAAAGGTGTCACAAGTCAAAGGTCAGCAGTCATCCTTAAAGGTCACGTCCCAAGGTAACACCCCAAACAGTCCTCCTAATGTCAAGGGAGAAAATGTCTACCCACGTTCAGGATCAACAGTAAACGCGACCAGACAGCAAACAGCTGGTAATGACATACAACATGTTCCCAGTTGTCCTCACAGTCCAGCGAATAACTATAGGACATTACCCAATATGGGTAAACAGAAGGCTGGACAACCCAGAGATGGGACCCTAACCCAAAAAACTGACCACCCAAAATCTCCCGGCTCTTACTCACCAGGTAAGTTAGCCTTGTTACAATAAAACACTAACAACCTTAATTAACACCCAGTTATATATAATTAATAAAAAGTTACTTGTTTTAATAATTAAAAAGTGTTTGAATTGAAGAAGAATTTTCCATAATTTTCATTGAAAACGTACACATGCTGACCTATTGGTGAAAATAAGATTTGCTGTCGTAAAATTTTATCCCCATTTGGATTTCTCTTGGTACATGGTAATTGCTATAAAATCAATTTCACACAAACTATCACTTAATTACAAAAATGAATTAATTTTGTAATTTGGGTGTATGGGAACTGAGTATTTTGTACAAATTTTTGCACTGTACTTTGGGCTATAGGTTCCTGCATCACTCTACCAAGGCGATCTAAACCTACATGTAAATCTCAGACTAAGGAGCTGTCTCATGCCCGTTCTGGGCCACCAGGGGGCGCCGTTACTTGTAAGACAAAACACGCTGGCGGTAAAACGGCACCCCAATCCAGTCCCCGGCCATCCCCTAAGGGGCCAGTTCCCAGGCCAACTAGTCTGACCACAGGTAGTCAAGGGAAGTGCCGAAACCCTAAATCCCCTATCATGTCATCTAAAGGTAGACAACTCTGTTCATATTGGCATGATAAATGGTTGAACCCTTTTTGCCTTAGTGTTCTTTTGCATTATTGTATGGCTTATCATCATCACATCCCTACGTTTTACAACGAGATGTGATCCTATGTATCTATATATAGTAACAACGTATACTTATCTCCCTTCCTTCTGTGAGGGTGTCATCGGCTGTTGTATGTTGGTTTATTTTCCCTTTTGTAATTTCTTTCATTTCATATTTATTCTATTGTGTGATTTTTTTCTGTTCCTATTTGATATGCGTGTGTCCCTTATGTTTAATTTGGATTGTCGTTTGAAACTTTTTGATCTATTAACATTTTGCCTACTCAAGCCTCAATAATCCAACCAACACTTACCCATTTGACCCATTTGTCCTACGATCTCTATATTTTGTCATTGTTAAAGGGACATATAGGTCCTTTTCTGTATCAAATTGTCCCAGTAGTCCAGCTAGTCATTTTTGGCTGGGAATTAATTTGGCGGGCTTATTGAGGCTACAATGTGTGTGTTTGTTTGGACTTTGTCATTATATATATGCATCCTACCTAGATGTATTTGCATGTATAGAATGTTTAATCTGTAAAAAAACCCCAAAAAAACTATCAAATTATGAAGAAAATTCTGAAGAATGGAAGCTCATTAAATCTGGACTCCCAACCACCAGGAAACTTCATAGGAAATAGTTTGTAATGTTATTGATTATTGCTGTTTTAAAAAAATCTTAAAACATTTTTTTTATTATTTTCAGGGACCAAAACTATTGATATTCCACTGTTTCCATTTTTTTACGGCATGGATGTGATCAAAATTGAATAATTAGCCTTTTGAAAGTCGACATATAATTTGTTTTCAGATATTTTCATGATCAGCTAATATTAATGACTTACAAACCTGGATTGTTTGTATACAAGTATCATTCTCATTAACACACCTTAAAACATTGAAAATATCCATTCACTTAAATTGTACCAATAATGCACTTATTGCTTGAATATATTCATGTATAAATTTATTTCAAAATATCATTAATTTGTTAAAGCATAAGTGTTTAAGATCTTATTACACTTGTAATTTCATTTAATTGTATAGCAGACAGTTATGACAAATTTGTGACTGAAAAGCAACTTTTTCTATTATTTCTAGGCGATAATGTCCTTTTATTTCCACTTGGTTAAAAGTATAAAACTCTGATATGCTTTTATTCTCTTCATTTTGACAAGTAATTTTGTTTTATGAGTGATGTGCTTTAATGGTGTTTTGAAATTTGTTTTTTTGATTTGATTTGAACAGATGCCAAGCAAGAAGCCAATTACCAGGAGACGAGCCACGTCAGTACAGGCAGTCTACACCGCTCTCACCTGGACGCTAGTCCTGGCATGGCCTCACCTAAACCCACTGTACGTAGGATAACCTGAATCACTTCTCTAGAGCTGAGTAGATAGAGTTACCTCCCTTAACCCTTTATTGATTCAGTGGCCTCTCCTAAACCCACTGGATGTAGAATTACCTGAATCACTTCTCTAGAGCTGAGTAGATAGAGTTACCTCCCTTAAACATTTATTGATTCAGTGACCTCTACTAAACCCACTGTACGTAGGATAACCTGAATCACTTCTCTAGAGCTGAGAAGATAGAGTTACCTCCCTTAAACATTTATTGATTCAGTGACCTTTCCTAAACCCACTGTACGTAGAATAACCTGAATCACTTCTCTAGAGCTGAGTAGACAGAGTTACCTCCCTTAAACCTTTATTAATTCAGTGACCTCTCCTAAACCCACTGCACGTAGAATAACCTGAATCACTTCTCTAGAGCTGAATAGATAGATTTACCTACCTTAAACCTTTATTGGTTCAGTGGCCTCTCCTAAACCCACTTTACGTAGAATAACCTGAATCACTTCTCTAGAGGTGAGGAGATAGAGTGACCTCCCTTAAACCTTTATTGATTCAGTGGTCTCACCTAAACCCACTGTACGTAGGATAACCTGAATCACTTCTCTAGAGCTGAGTATACAGAGTTACCTCCCTTAATCCTTCATTGGTTCAGTGGCCTCTCCTAAACCCACTGCACGTAGAATAACCTGAATCACTTCTCTAGAGCTGAGTAGACAGAGTTACCTCCCTTAACCCTTTATTTGTTCAGTGACCTCCTAAACCCACTGCACGTAGAATAACCTGAATCACTTCTCTAGAGGTGAGTAGATAGAGTGACCTCCCTTAAACCTTTATTGATTCAGTGGTCTCACCTAAACCCACTGTACGTAGGATAACCTGAATCACTTCTCTAGAGCTGAGTAGACAGTTACCTCCCTTAACCCTTTATTTGTTCAGTGACCTCCAAAACCCACTGTACGTAGAATAACCGGAATCACTTCTCTAGAGCTGAGTAGATAGAGTGACCTCCCTTAAACCTTTATTGATTCAGTGGTCTCACCTAAACCCACTGTATGTAGGATAACCTGAATCACTTCTCTAGAGCTGAGTAGACAGAGTTACCTCCCTTAACCCTTTATTTGTTCAGTGACCTCCAAAACCCACTGTACGTAGAATAACCGGAATCACTTCTCTAGAGCTAAGTAGATAGAGTTACCTCCTTTAAACCTTTATTGATTCAGTGGTCTCACCTAAACCCACTGTATGTAGGATAACCTGAATCACTTCTCTAGAGCTGAGTAGATAGAGTGACCTCCCTTAATCCTTTATTAATTCAGTGGCCTCTCCTAAACCCACTGTACGTAGAATTACCTGAATCACTTCTCTAGAGCTGAGTAGATAGAGTGGCCTCCCTTAATCCTTTATTGATTCAGTGGCCTCTCCTAAACCCACTGTACGTAGGATTACCTGAATCACTTCTCTAGAGCTGAGTAGATAGAGTGACCTCCCTTAATCCTTTATTGATTCAGTGGCCTCTCCTAAACCTACTGTACGTAGGATTACCAGAATCACTTCTCTAGAGCTGAGTAGATAGAGTTACCTCCCTTAACCCTTCATTGGTTCAGTGGCCTCTCCTAAACCCACTGTACGTAGAATAACCTGAATCACTTCTCTAGAGCTGAGTAGACAGAGTTACCTCCCTTAAACCTTTATTGCTTCAGTGACCTCTCATAAACCCACTGTACGTAGAATAACCTGAATCACTTCTCTAGAGCTGAATAGATAGAGTGACCTCCCTTAAACCTTTATTGGTTCAGTGGCCTCTACTAAACCCACTGTACGTAGAATAACCTGAATCACTTCTCTAGAGCTGAGTAGATAGAGTTACCTCCTTTAACCCTTTATTGAGTTAGTGGCCTCTCCTAAACCCACTGTATGTAGAATAACTTGAATCACTTCTCTAGAGCTGAGTAGATTGAGTGACCTCCCATAATCCTTTATTGATTCAGTGACCTCTCCTAAACCCACTGTACGTAGAATAACCTGAATCACTTCTCTAGAGTAGATAGAGTGACCTCCCTTAATCCTTTATTGATTCAGTGGCATCTCCTAAACCCACTGTATGCAGGATAACCTGAATCACTTCTCTAGAGCTTAGTAGATAGAGTTAGCTCCCTTAACCCTTTATTGATTCAGTGTCCTCTACTAAACCCACTGTACGTAGAATATCCTGAATCACTTCTCTAGAGTAGATAGAGTGACCTCCCTTAATCCTTTATTGGTTCAGTGGCCTCTACTAAACCCACTGTACGTAGAATAACGTGAATCACTTCTCTAGAGCTGAGTAGATAGAGTTACCTCCCTTAACCCTTTATTGATTCAGTGACCTCTACTAAACCCACTGTACGTATAGGATAACCTGAATCACTTCTCTAGAGCTGAGTAGATAGAGTAACCTCCCTTAATCCTTTATTGATTCAGTGGCCTCTCCTAAACCCACTGTATGTAGGATAACCTGAATCACTTTTCTAGAGCTGAGTAGATAGAGTGACCTCCCTTAAACATTTATTGGTTCAGTGACCACTCCTGAACATAACATAGGTGTCATACAAACACTTCGCTCCGATTTCTGGACTATCGGAAATTTCTTTTTTGAGACATTAATATTTTATATAGAATCTAATTTACTTGTTTAAAGGACTATTCATTAACATGTCATCATGAATTAGTCTGAATTCCAAACATCATTTCTGTAGATAATGTGTGTGGCTTTCTTAGGAAATTGTAATATTGATACCAGTTACAATAAATCTGGCTCTCTATCTGCAGTGTTAGGATGGAGAAAATAGAAAAAATGCTTCCTATTTTTTAGAAACTCTTTACTTTTATCATATTAAATTATTTGAAAATGATAATAGATAAACTAGTGAAATATTCTTATCACAAAGAAAGTACATATGTATTCACATGTGTAATGATTATTCTAGATGTTCCTCAAGTAATCAAACTATAGATAAACCACTTTTGTTTTCATAATTAGATATATATCTATAATAATGTAGAAATTTAACTTAAAATCAATTATAAAACAGCAAAATTTGTTGTTTTTGTCAAAATTGTGGACAGCCATCACACCTCTAAAACCACTTTGATGTTTATTTCAAAGTCTAGAGTTTTTCAATTTCACAGTTTGAAATGTCCGTTTCACAGTCAGACTTTGATCTGATCATATATAAACGTTTCTTGTGTTGATATCATGGAAGTATATATCTCACTGGTTTCTATACTTATACCAGTCAGTCATGAATCGCCCCAAGTTTGTGGCAGTGACGTCAATGGAAGATGCACAAGCTATCAGGACCGTTGCCTTCCATCCGTCAGGCGAGCTGTTCGCCGTGGGGTCCAACTCCAAGGTGTTACGCGTCTGTGCATTTCCCGAATTGTCTAGTCTCAGGTAAGAGGTTTGTGCAGAAATAAGCGTTGATTATGCTAAGAATTCCTTTGTAAACAAATGCGTGGCATTTCCAAGAAGGACTTTAGCTGAAATGATGAAAGTTTCATCAGATATAGAATGTGAATATAAACTTCTTACCGAAAGAAAATGTTCTAAAATCAGTTTGAATGTTATCATTTGGTAATTTAAATGAATAAAACTTATCTATACCTCACTATACCTAACTCATTTGTGTTATGAAAAGATGAATTTTTATTTACCACATCCTCAATTTACTTACTAAAGGTGTGTTTACAGATAATTCTATATTATAAAGGTTGGATGAAATAGGCTACACAGCCTTGTTAGAAAACAGCACAATAAATTGTTTCAACATAGAAGCAGTGTGGTGTGTTTTAGCTATAAATTGCTGTACTAATAATGACATGTGTTGTTGGGTACCAGAGAGGACCACGTTACCGAGAGGACGGACGTTGTTTACAAAAAGAACAAACATCACAAGGGATCCATTTACTGCATAGCCTGGAGCCCCATGGGAGACCTCATCGCCACAGGCTCCAACGACAAGACCATAAAGATGATACGCTACAATGCGCAGGAACACACTGATGGTAGTACAGCTGAACCACGCTCTTGAGACCCCTCTAATGAAAGACCATCCCCTTTGAAACACCCTTGTGACATAATCATAAAGTTAATGTCTAGAAGCTGAATGATCAATGACCTGTTATGAAAGACCACTTCACTTTGGAGACCATCTTCTATTGGCAAAAGAATTGATCTTAAAGACAGATCCTACTGTATAAAGACAAACACCCTTGGAAGGCTACTGATAACATTTGTGCTTGTTTAAGAAATTTGGACAGAATTTCTATAAAGTTTCATATCCTTTGCTTAGCTTTGACAAAAGGCAAATATACCATTGGCTAAAAAGTCCGAAGTATTTGTGAATGATAGGTAATTGCATAACATATCAATACTTTTCCAGAGATGAAATGATATATCTAAAAAATTCTTAACAAATGACATCCTCCTACCAGTTTTATAAAGAAAAGCTCCAAATGTATTTCATCTTCATGTGTTTACGTTACCATGAAATTTCGTTATGATTTCAGTTGGCCCGGAGATGGAGTTGACAATCCATGATGGTACAATTCGGGACCTGACCTTCATGCAGGACAGCATAAACAGGACGTCTCTGCTGATCAGTGGTGGGGCGGGCGACAACAAAATCTACGTGACTGACTGTGAGACTGGCATGCCAGTGCGAGCTATGGCTGGACACTCGGGTAGGTAGAACTGGTAAACTAGACACCTGGGACGGAGTTTTCTCCTTCAAGTCAAGGATCCATAATATGAGGGCCATTCACTATATAATGGGCCTAGACCATTTATTGAGCCATAACAGCTGCATGCTTTGCCGCTCTATTCTCGCGTATATCATCAAATCATCTAGAATAGCTTTATTTTAAACAAATTTGGAATGCATTATTCATAATTGAAAGCAACACACTAGGTCTAAATCATTATTTAGGCAGGTAATTTCTGATTTGATAATTGGTTTCCATTCAATAACTGCCCTGAAAAAGAGTTAGATTTCAACCAAATGAAGGTGCCCATCCTTAGTGACAGAATGTGGTGTGCACATACTGATGGGCAAGTTTCAGGCTTTGAATGTATATATATATATAGCTACTTTAAACCTCAACAATGGCCTACAGATTTAACATGGTCCTGAAAGTAGGGGATATAAAATCCATGAATTCACTTGTTCAGTTGTGGTTTATTAACACAAAAGATACATTTTTTGTCCCTGATGAACTAGATTTTTTCTATGTAAAAATACGATTTTTTTATTTTGTAGGTCATGTGTACTCATTACACACTTGGGGTGGCTGCATGTTTGTAAGTGGATCACAAGACAAAACGGCACGGTTCTGGGACATGAGAGCTTCAACTGCCATCACGGTGGTACCCAGTGCTACAGGTACACCAAGGAACGCTTACTGTCTGCTCATATATATTTGTATAAGCAACAAATAAGGAGTTAACAGAATTATTTTTATGAGGTTAGGTGATTCTTTAATGTCAACGGAACAGTAAACATTTCTTGTTAAGTAACCAAAGACCTAACAAATGTTAAAGTATCAATTCATTTCTTGCTTCCACTTGCTCAAAGCTATACGGTACAGGAAAAGGTTTTAATTTAGGGTAATATACCAAATCCAACCTACTTCTGATTGACACTATAATCATTGCAATGTACCCTCAATGCCTGTTTATATCTAGTAACTTCTTTAATCCTTTCAACCCCTCTACCATGCATTGATTTGGATACGTCCATTATGGTCTACAGTGGTGTAAGGATTAAGTACATACTTCACAATTACACTACAATTTCTACTGTTATGTTAACAGGCAGTGCGTTTGCTTCCGTATGTGTGGACCCTTCGGGGCGCCTTTTAGCGTCGGGACACGAGGACAGTAGTGTGATGCTGTACGACATCCGAGGCTCGCGTGGAATTCAGAGCTTCAAGCCTCACAAGGGAGAATGTCGATCAGCTCGCTTCTCAATGAACGCTTACTACCTTCTGTCCTCATCCTATGACCAGAAAATAGTGCTTACAGACCTGCACGGTAAGACTGAAGTTGTCTCCCTTCTTCAACGAGTGACTTGCCCATTCTTTTTGTTCTTATCAATAATAATCATTCTGATGTTCGATGAAAACCTCTTGGTATTAGTTAGTTCGGGTTTATGTGAAGTGTGATGATAATCATACACTATATGGCATACCAAAATCTGTGACCTCTGTAAAATTGAATAGAATGGCAAAGACTTCAACATGTAGTGATGAAAATAATTTTCAAATTGTTCTTGGTATTACTTCATCAGAGCAATGTGTACAAGCTTTTTAACCCTGTCTGTGACTGACCTATATATGCCATTTGTTGTTTGGTTATTATTTGTAATGAAGCTTATTCAAAGCAGATATCTATGTCTTGATGATAACTCTGTCATGACCTTTGATCTCCAGGTGACCTTGGACGTTCCCTACCCAGTGTGGTTGTGGCTGAACATGAGGACAAAGCACTCCAGTGTCGCTGGCACCCGTCACATCTTGCCTTTGTCAGTACCAGTGCTGACAGGACGGTCACAACCTGGGGCTTACCTGTCTCTATGTAGAGGTCAAGGGTCAATCTAATTGATGCATGACAACGTTTGATCTACTACGCCAGTATCTAATATGGACAAAATTTCATGTGTGCTTGAAAATATTTGAAGGAAAAGAGGCAACTGAGTTTTGTTTTTGGAAAGGTTGACAGGAATTTGAAGCCAAGGACTAAGCCAGATCATACGTAGCTTCTGAGTACATCTATGTACACATAACTATTACATGATCACATTATGTGCTAGTCATTATCATTTCACTTGTCTCAAGAGTTGTAAAGCAATGTTTTTGTATCTGGTAAAGCATGCCAAATAAAGGTTCATGCTTCTGTTACAAAGACATTACATTAATTAAGGTAAGCATCAGTATTGATAAAAATACTAATGAAATAAGAATGGTCATGGTATATCTACTGTAATGCCTAGTTCATCCAGCCACTACTGATCAGAGTGTCTCAGCATCAAGCCACCACTGATCAGGGTGTCTCACCATCCAGCCACCACTGATCAGGGTGTCTCACCATCCAGTCACCACTTATCAGGGTGTCTCACCATCCAGCAACCACTGATCATGGTGTCTCACCATCCAGCCACCACTGATCAGGGGGTCTCACCATCCAGCCACCACTGATCAGGGTGTCTTACCATCCAGCCACCACTGAACAGGGTGTCTCACCATCCAGCCACCACTGATCAGGTTGTCTCACCATCCAGCCACCACTGATCAGGGTGTCTCACCATCCAGCCACCACTGATCAGGGTGTCTTACCATCCAGTCACCACTGAACAGGGTGTCTCACCATCCAGCCACCACTGATCAGGGTGTCTCACCATCCAGCTAGTGTTTGAAGGGGACAGAAAGACTATTCAATACATCACTGTCCCAGTGATCCAGCAATTTCACAATACAGCCACTATTGCTGGGAGTTTAAGTGGTTTGATTATCACCGCTCCACTGTATAGTCATGATGGGGAGAAAATGAGTACTTACAGTAATCTGATGTTTAGCTTGGCAGCTGATTTGATCATCTGCATTGTAAAATTCTTATTTATAAATGTTGCTTTTGATTGAAATTGTTTGTGATGCTATTGACTTTGTGTTTCTGTATTGATGCACTGATGAGTTTGTTACAGTGTTTACGGTAGGAGAGATGTTACTTCCTGGTTACCTACAGTAAAATTCCTGTTTTGAGTTGTTTTGTGTTTGTACCTAGGTATACCAACATGTTTGATGAAAATGCATGTAACTGTGTAAAAGAAAATGTTGGCTGGATATAATTTTCATTTTCACTGGGAAGCAAATTTGAAATATGAAAGACCATGCCATCAGACTGTATATTAAAAATTTGCTAAATGAAACCGCTGTATTTCCCCATCGTATTAATATACTCTGTACATCTACACCATACATAGCTCCAAGCACCCATTCTTGCTTATCTTTTATTATTTTGGTTATGACACCCCAAGTTTGACTTCAAGTTTTTGGACAGTTAACATGCTTTTGTAAAGGGTACCTGGAGCTTAGCTTAATGGCTCGTTTGAATGTGTTTACTGGATATGGTACTGGGGGCTTGGCCTAAGAGCTCGTTTTAATGTGTTTTCTGGGTTTTGTACTGGGGGCTTAGACTAATGGCTCGTTTGGATGTGTTTTCTGGATATGGGACTGGGGGGTTCGCCTAATAGCTCGTTTGTATGTGTTTACTTGATATGGTACTGGGGGGTTAGCCTAATTGCTCGTTTGTATGTGTTTACTTGATATGGTACTTGGGGCTTAGCCTAATGGGTCCTTTTGATTTGTTTTCTTGGTATGGGACTGGGGGGTTTGCCTAATGGCTCGTTTGAATGTGTTTACTGGATATGGTACTGGGGGCTTGGCCTAATAGCTCGTTTGAATGTGTTTACTGGATATGGTACCGGGAGCTCGGCTTTGTCGTTGGTTTGACTGGGTTGCTCTGCTTCTGCTCAATAATAAGGCAATAATGTTTATAGATATAGTTTTTTTTATGCTTCATAATTTTGTCCCTGAGACACCTGTTATCATAAATGTAGTACCACAAGTTCATTTTGATGTATAATTTACCATGCTTACAACCTTTTCATGAGGTGGTCATTATTATCAATATTTTTGTTCACCTGATGTATACCACGCATAACAGACATCTTTACAGTGTGGAAATGCTCACTTTTTTCATATTGAATAAATTGTCCAGAATTTCCACTTTAACAGTAACCTAACACCCGTGAAAACATCACCAGTTTATAGTCAGCCTGCAGTCATGTTCATTTAGCAGGTCTACACAGTTCTATAATACCATGAAACATTTCAGCAATTTCAGAGAAGAATATTGATCTTTTACGGTGTTTTGTTTGTCTATTCCTAGAAATCTGTGATACAGGTCATAATATTCAGAAGATCTTGATGATGTTGATGAAACATTTATTACATTTTATTTCAATTCGTTTGTTTATACTTATTATACATTTATGTTTATGCAAGAGTAAGGTGTTTAAACCTCTCTTACTCGACACCTCACCATACCGACCCAGATACAGTGATACCTTTTTAATTGGAACACTTATAACCAGTTTTTTCTGTTCAGAACAAGCAGGTTTTAGATTGCACAGGTACAGTAGACAGGGAAATGTATACAGTGGGATCTAGTGGAATGTCTGGTTTATACAAGTGTATGGATTATACAGGTGTATGGTTTATACAGGTGTATGGATTACACAGGTTGCAAAGAAACATATCTAGTGGAATGTAATTGATCGCCTGGTTTATACATTGTCCAGGTTAGAAAGGGTTCACAACCAGACAGGTTACCCTGGATAGTAATTCCAACTAATAAGTAGTTCTCTTAATTTCTTACTTTCACTTAGAGAATGATTTGGCTTCCCTAAAATATGAAAATATTTGTATGCTACGTGTGTTTTTATGGAACACTGGTTGTATGAGGTTATCTGTCGAGTAAGAGAGTTGATAAACATCAGTACTTAGCGGACTCGGTACAACATTGCCATACCGTAGAGACAAATATTTATTTCAATTACTCGTGTTGGTTTTGAATATTTTTCCCAATTTTATTACACGAATACCAGAAGCTTTAATTCCATAAGATATTGTTTATTTACATATTTTGTTTATTTTACATTCTATCTGTGAATTAATACTTTGGATGTTACATAATATATATAGTTTAAGATTTAGTGCATGTATTTAATGTTTATGTTTAATTTATTCGTGCCATTTAGTTGGCACTATCTTAACTGATAGTGGAGAAATATTAATTTATCTTTTATTATTATCTTACAGCTTTAATATGACATCCCTCCAGAAATATTATCCAGAACAAATTCTCATATATCATAAAACTGTCTCATAACTACAGTTAATCTTCAAATCAGTGCTTTTTGCATGACATTAATTTTCCGTCCATCAATGAACAAAACTGTACTCTTCACATATTGATTCTCCAGATTCTTACTCATTTAATTACGTTCCAGTAGTTGTACTGTATGTCCTAGCCAGCACACCAGTTTGGATTTTGTAATACTTGGTAACAATTTACATCGTTTTATTTTAAGTAATCACTTTTTGAAATCAGTCCTTATTTAGGACAGTGTCATTAATGTTGCTGTTCCTGACTTAAGATTGGTGTAGGCAATTAAAAATTATCATATATAACTGAAAAAAATATATGCTTTTTCATCATTTAGCATTTTATTATAATAAACTTATGAGTTTGGTGTATGAAATAAGTGATATCAGCTTCTTAGTGTAAGAAATTAATTCATCATTTAGTTTATTGTAAAATATTTGATATTTGATGCATCATCTAAATAATTCTGTCTTCCATTGAATGAAAATTAATTGTCATGAACCTTTCATGGGTAAATGAACGATTTGTACTGGCAATATATAGCTGTACATATAAATATCTTTATGGCTTCATGTATACTGCTTTTTCAAACACATTATAATGATATTATTTACTACTTGTATATAAAGTGAAACCTGGCTATATATTGACACCTGACATTAAGGACGTCCTGTAATAAGTGACATCATTGTATGTCCCAAGCAGCTGATAGTTTGGACTGTCTGTTATATACACTGTAGGATTTCATCATGGTCCCAAACAGATAGGTTTCCGAGTCTCCGATCATTTTCTTGCAATGACATGGTGATCGTGATTGGACATAGACAGAATGACCCCGGCTTTGGACGACTCATTATGACTAAAAGATTCCAGTTTAAGTTGACAAGACAGGTTTCATTTCAGTAATGATGTATCTGGTTCTTATACATTCGGTTAACGATCAACTGAAAAGATGTCATGTCAAGTCAAGGTCACCATATCATGGGAAGTACAGGGTCAGCATGTTAGGTTAAGATTATCGTATCATGGTGTAAGGTCAAGATCATCACTTCATTGTAAGGTCAAGGTCAACGTGTAAAGACAGGGTTATTATGTCAATGTAATTTCAAGGTCATGTGTATCATTGGTATAAAGAACTTGTGTATGTCGGTGTATATCCAAAGATATCTATCATTTGAGACTGTATTTATAGAGTTGTGGAGTTCACTGTAGTGTTTTATTGTACAGTAATAGGAAGCCTGTCTTTGTGAGTTCAAGGTGGTGCTCTTATTGTAAAGTGATGTTGTTGGAATCATCAAATCAAACCTCAAAGGTTGTTCTATCCATAAAAACCCATCATTGTATAATGTTGAATTTTTTATAGCTAAGAACACTCATTTTATTTTAACACATGTAGATGGTTACTTTATACACTTCAGTCTTGTGTCTATGATGTAGGTTCATGTTTGGTCTTTACAATATTTTTTCTTTACAGAGGATAAGGTTTTTTGTTAGGGTTCAGGAATTTAACAAGACAAGGTTATGGTTGCAGCGGCTTGTTTCCCTAGCGGTCTCCTCGTAAACCAGACAGTATGGTATGCTACCATGGTTTGTGTTCAGCACAGTACTGATTGTTGTTGTGTAAACATTATCTTGCACATCCTGCGACGTCTCGTGTTGGTTCATTTTGGTAGTTTGTTTGTACCGACCCTACAGTCGATGTATTGTTTTGATAACTTTGATTTGAAGATAGTTTCTAGTCAGACCAAGTAATGTGGAATATATACCAGGTATTTGTGAATCAATTAAACTATATATTGTCACTAGAACCGTAATGTCTTTTCTCCACCAATACAACCTCAATATCTTGGGTAGTTTTGTCTTTAATTAAATCTTTAACTAAGTTTAATTTGAATATGTTCTCTGGAAATCATTTTGTGTTCCATGTAGGGACTTGATCTTAGAGATCAAGATCAATATACTAAATATTTTCAAAGACACCAAGGTGACTACTACAGGGCGTCAGTGTTTTCTAGTGGAAGCATGGCCCTAATTATTTTTGTTACACTAGTGTCACTCGATGTCCATATATAAGATGTTACAACATAAATGACATGTACTTCGCATTATAGCTAAGATATTGTGTATTCTGTACTGTATATTACACAAAATTTAATTTCTGTGGTGCAACAATAAATATAGCTGTTTACGATTTAATTAATTGTTATTTCTCAATAATCCGCACCAAAACATTCAATTTTCTAGTGTTTATTTTCTGTAATATAACTTAATTTGCCTTAATTCTTATGAAGATTTTTGTATTGAAAATTCCTAAGCATACCTTTAGTATTTACTAACACAGCACTCTGTATATTTAGTATCAGTACACGGTATATATAATATAAACAAATCTTTATATCTCCATCCACTGGATAGAAATGAAATAGCAGTTTTTAATCTAAGGAATTTGGTTCCTAAAGCATCTTAAGGATAACATATATGGCTCATTTGTATTCAGGTAAACATACCTAATGACTTTCTCCATTTATAAATGGTTGACATAATTGGTAAATAAAATGAAAATTTATAAATTTTTGAACTTATCTGGAATACAGAAGTGAATGTACAGCATGAGAATAGTGCTCAACCTGTATTGGTTGTGGGTTTACATGTACTACAGAATAGACGATGTTGATGAAATACACCCGTACCCAGCATCTATTTGTATTCCAGCATGTATTGACTTCACCCCTGTGCTACACAATGTCACCCTATGTGCTTGGTATGCTGCCAAACTATTTATTATGAATAAATCATACAAAATTACAACGTCTCAACTTGTGTTCATTTATGTAAAGGAGCTTAAACACATCATCATGGATAATTGTGTTTAATTTAATAATGTTTGTCCTTAAACAGATAGGACATGTTCAACATACATGTACTTGTGTTTGCAAATACAATTTCCACAGATTATGAGGCATTATTCGAATATCCACAAAGACATGTTGTGTAGTATAATACTGTAAGCCATATAATGTTCTCAAAAACCTCGCTATGTCCTCAATATTGTACAGACAACTTTTGCACAAAACTCTGCTATCATCAGTGTGCCATGACATTAAACTTGACTACTTGTATAGGGGACACGTTTACCAGTGTGTTACAGATACATCTGTGTAGACGATGAACATGTACCACACTATCCAAATTTCTGAGGACAACGCAAGCATCACAATGCGTAGCTGTAACACCATGTATGGACGTCAAAGGTTGTCATTCCGTCTAAAGCACTATAACCATCAATGGAATTCACAATTCTGTGAAAATCACAAAACACTTTTTACAGTGTAGCTATTGACAGCTCATCAATCATCCTAAACACAGGTCATCAATGGAATTCAAATTCTTGCGAATGTTCACCTTCGACCAGGCTGCCGGAGAAGTCCGAGATCCAGGTGTTTACCTACACACCCCTGGATTAACCACAGAAACTTGCAGGACATCCTGGTTGTGCTTGATGACCTTGTCATATTGAATAGCATTTGACCTCTTGAGAAAGTCGCACTGAATAACCATTAACCTCTGGTGTAGACCAATCAGAATATGTCTTGCTCATCATAGGTGACCATAGCTCGTTTATCCTTGTGTGATCCCTTCTGTGAGGAACTCGCAGCTACAAAAAAAAAAAACTTTTTTAAGAATTCAGAACATTTTGAATGGACTCCTAGTAATGTTACAGAAAAGTACTAACATACCGACTATCATGACCAGTAGTGCAGTAATAAGCTCTCTGCATTATAATCAAAAGTTCCAAGGTCAAATGCCTGTGGCAGAGATATTTCAGCGAAAAAAATCAAATAATAATAACAAATTTTTATGTATACATGCAACTGTTTGCTTAGTAAAAGGTCGAGTAATTCAGTAACTTTCTCTACAGATGGTCAAGCTGATTCCAGTTTTACAGATGGTCAAGCTGATTCCAGTTTTACAGATGGTCAAGCTGATTCCAGTTTTACAGATGGTCAAGCTGATTCCAGTTTTACCTTCAACTTTGTTACTTGGGGTATAAAAAAGACACACTTGATGTGTAAAATGAGATGTAGACATGGTTCCTCTAGAGAAACGGGTATTAATTTATGAAAGCCATATATGTACTGTAGAATTTCAGGTGGTGCATATAATTGTTACCTATTGATGACCAGGATGTTGTAGATGGGTCTGTGGCCTGCTCAAACGAGGGTTGTCTCCTCGCCATGGAAACGCGGAGCTGTACCCCATCTATCATGGCATTGTTTACCTGAAATATTGGATAAATAGTAAGATATCACACCATACCCCTAAGTTCACAAACGGATATCTACATAAAACACCCAGTAATACGTACTACCAAGGGAGTATCAACAAATACGTACACGATTTAATCCTTGTTTCATGTAATTTTACTATGAGAAATAACTTTTCTTTGAACCAGACTTGCATCTACTTCACATCAATCTTGTATAACACTATCACTAAAATAACTCTTACTTCAGATATAGCTGAATCTGCAGATTCCATTTTCTCAAAGGTCACAAATCCGACACTAAAATAAAAAAGAAAAGCACACTGAAAACAGGAATTCAAATATTCTTAGGGAAAATATCTACCAATAACAAGAGGCCCATGGGCCTTAACGGTCACCTGAGTCTACAGTATTTATTTTTGTTGTTGAAATATGTACCAATTTGAGTACAAAATAGTTAAGTATAACGTTAACTTAAGTTTGTCAGGTCCATGAGCTGATCATACCTAGACCGAGTTTCAGTTAAATCCACCTATTAGTACTTGTTTTTAATTTTGAAATAGGTTTTTCAAAATGGCGGCCGTGTCGGCCATATTGGATTTCTGATCGACCCGAAAATTACCACACTTTGTCAGAACCATGAGTCAATCATTCCTACTAAGTTTCAGTTCAATTGGCCCAACAGAACTTGACTTTAAGTTTGAAATAGTTTTTCAAAATGGCGGCCGTGGCGGCCATATTGGATTTCTGATCGACCCGAAAAATAACAACACTTTGTCAGGACCATGAGGCGATCATTCCTACCAACTTTCAGTTCAATCGGCCCAGCAGAACTTGACTTTAAGTTTGAAATGTAAAATGTTAACGGACGACGGACGACGGATGATGGACGATGGACGACGGACGACGGACGACGGACGACGACGGACGAAAACGGATAGCAATAGGTCACTTGAGCTAAAGCTCAGGTGACCTAAAAACACAGGAAATACTTCTCTGCTTTCTGAAGTTCTCATTTCACAAAACAGGAGTACCCGTACAGTACATAACTGTTAATGTCATGTGAAAATTGTCAGTAGAAAATGGGATATATAGCAAAACGTGACATGTATACATTACACATAATATCACACTCAGTTTGTCTGATGAAATGTCAATATATTAAGAATCTCAAACTCATTTCCCACCACATAGATTCAACAATTTCATAAACACCCCAAAACATTTGAACAACTTTGTGATTCCCTGTATTCCACACATTAAAAAAGATCTAACTTGACTCTTTTGAGCAAAATTGGAATAGAACAAGCAGGAAAATCATCACCATTTTGTCTCTGACATGAATTCTTTCCTTGTGACATCACAAGGAGCCAGCGTCATTACACATGCTACAGATGACGTGATATTTTTTAATTATACGATATAACAGCTACTGCACGTAATCAAATACATTTCGGTGATAAAGCAACATCATAATCTAATCAGGTTAACGTTTTGGTGTCTGGAAAATGAACATGGGGAAAACAGACTTGTTTATTGTACAGTATAACTAAATGTATGGACAGACATATTGAAAATGATATCCCTGGGACCTTCTTTTTTACTGGTAGCAGTTCAAATGGCTTCTTGCAAGCTTTAGAACAAGAGGCCCATGGGCCTTAACGGGCACCTGAGTCCTACAGTATTTATTTTTGTTGTTGAAATATGTTCCAATTTGAGTAAAAAATAGTTAAGTATAATGGCAGCCAAATTGTATTTCTGATTTACCCGAAAAATAACAACACTTTGTAAGGACCATGATTCGATTATTCCTACTAAGTTTCAGTTTAATCGGCCAAGTAGAACTTTACTTTAAGTTTGAAATGTAAAATGTTAACGGACGACGGACGACGGATGATGGACGATGGACGACGGACGACGACGGACGAAAACGGATAGCAATAGGTCACTTGAGGTCAAGATCAGGTGACCTAATAAAATTGTTTGCAAAAGTATAACGTTAACTTAAGTTTGTCAGGTCCATGATTCGATCATTCCTGCTAAGTTTCATTTCAATCGGCCAAGTGGAACTTTACTTTAAGTTTGAAATAGTTTTTCAAAATGGTGGTCGTGGTGGCCATATTGGATTTCTGATCGACCCGAAAAATAACAACCCTTTGTCAGGACCATAAGTCGATCATTCCTACTAAATTTCAGTTCAATCGGCCAAGTCGAACTTTACTTTAAGTTTGAAATAGTTTTTCAAAATGGCGGCCGTGGCGGCCATATTGGATATCTGAACGACCCTAAAAATAACAACACTTTGTCATGACCATGATTCGATCATCCCTACTAAGTTTCAGTTCAATCGGCCAAGTCGAACTTTACTTTAAGTTTGAAATGTAAAATGTTAACGGACGACGGACGAAGACGGATAGCAATAGGTCACTTGAGCTAAAGCTCAGGTTACCTAATAAAATTGTTTGCAAAAGTATAACGTTAACTTAAGTTTGTCAGGTCCATGATTCGATCATCCCTACTAAGTTTCAGTTTAATCGGCCAAGTAGAGCTTTACTTTAAGTTTGAAATAGTTTTTCAAAATGGCGGCCGGGGCGGCCAGATTGGATATATGATCGCCCATAAAAATAACAACACTTTGTAAGGACCATGATTCGATTATTCCTACTAAGTTTCAGTTCAATCGGCCCAGCAGGACTTGACTTTAAGCTTGAAATGTAAAATGTTAACGGACGACGGACGAAGACGGATAGCAATAGGTCACTTGAGCTAAAGCTCAGGTTACCTAATAAAATTGTATGCAAAACTTCCCACAACATCTAATGTAACTAGTACAAACGGCCCACTACATGTAATGTATCTAGTGCACACTTCCCACAACATGTAATGAAACTAGTACACACGTCCCCTAACAATTAATGGAACCAGTACAAACTTCCCAGAACATGTAATGTAACTAGATATTGAAAATGATATCCCTGGGACCTTCTTTTTTACTGGTAGCATTTCAAATGGCTTCTTGCAAGCTTTAGAACAAGAGGCCCATGGGCCTCTTGTTCTAAAGCTTGCAAGAAGCCATTTGAACCGCTACCAGTAAAAAAGAAGGTCCCAGGGATATCATTTTCAATATCTAGTTACATTACATGTAGTGGGAACTAGTTACATTACAGTTTGTACTAGTTACAGTTCATGTAGTGGGAAGTTTGTCCTAGTTACATTACATGATGTGGGAAGTGTGTACTGGTTACATTAAATGTTGTGGGAAGTTTGTACTAGTTTCATTACATGTTGTGGGTTATCTTTCTACAGTACATACTAGTTACATTACTACATTACATGTTGTTGGAAGTGTGTACTATTTACATTACATTTAGTGGGAAGTGTGTACTACTTACATTACATGTTGGGGGAAGTTTGTACTAGTTACATTATATATAATGTAACTAGTACACACTTCCCACAACATGTAATATAACTAGTACAAACTTCCCACAACATATAATGTAACTAGTAAAAACTTCCCATTATATATAATGTAACTAGTACAAACTTCCCACAACATGTAATGTAACTAGTACAAACTTGCCATTACATGTAATGTAACTAGTACAAACTTCCCACAACATGTAATGTAACTAGTACAAACTTCCCACTACATGTAATGTAACTAGTACACACTTCCCACAACATGTAATGTAACCAGTACAAACTTCCCACAACATGTAATGTAACTAGTACACACTTCCCACTACATGTAATGTAAATAGGACACACTTCCAACAACATGTAATGTAACCAGTACAAACTTCCCACAACATGTAATGTAACTAGTACAAACTTCCCACAACATGTAATGTAACTAGTACAAACTTCCCACTACATGTAATGTAAC